CTCAAAAAAAAAAAAAAAAAAAAAGAGAGAGAAAGTCTCAGCAGAAATCCACAGAGTTCTGAAGGTTACAAATGCTTAATCATGTTGGGACTGTGTAATCGCCAAATGCATACCCCTAAATGAAATATTATTGTCAATACCTTTATTTGCTTTTTTTTTTTTTTTGAGTTGGAGTCTCACTCTGTTGCCCAGACTGGCAGCTCCTGGCCACCACAGCCTCGACCTGCTGGGCTCCGGCGATCCTTCCACCTCAGCCTTCCAAGTAGCTAGAACTACAGGTGTGCGCTACCGTGCGCGGCTAGTTTTTGATTTATTGTAGAGATGAGGTCTCACCAAGTTGCCCAGGTGGGTCTCGAACCTGCGGGCTCAGGCAATCCACTCACTCAGCCTCCCAAGGCACAGGATTACAGGCTGAGCCACCGAGCCCGGCTATTTGCTATTAAAATACTAAGTTTTATATGACTCTTAAAATGACATTACTTCTCACTCATAATTGGACACTGAACATTTACCATACTACTATAAGAAAGGGATTGTCAGTAGAAGGAGACTGCCGAGGGTGGGAGGGAACACATCAATAAGGGTTCCTGATCTCAAACCAGGCAAAGTGGGGACCAAAGGGAAGCTCAAACTTTACCTGTATGATGACCACTTGTATACCTAATCCTGACTTGTACCCCACATCTTTAAACATTAAAAAAACAATAAAAATGACATTACATTTTTAAACATTTTTTTTTTTTTGAGTTTGAGTCTCACTCTGTCACCTGAGCTGAATAAAGTGCAGTCGCACGATCACAACTACTGCAGCCTTGACCTCCTATGCTCAGGCGATTCTTCTGCTTCAGCCTCCTGAGTAGCTGGAACTACAGGCATGTGCCACCACACCCCACTAGTTTTTAAAATTTATTTTAGAGACAAGGTCTCGCCATATTGCCCAGGCTGGTCTTGAACCCCTGGGCTCAGGTAATCCTCTCATCTTTGCCTCCCAAAATGCTGGGGTTACAGTTGTGAGTCACAGTGCTTGGCAGGCATATTATTTGTAAAAATTCTTAAAAAGAAAGGTAATTAAAAAAATTTTTTTTAGAGATAGGGTGTTGTTGTGTTGCCCAGGCTGGTCTCGAACTCCTAGGCTCAAACAATCCTCCAACCTTGGCCTCCCAGAGTTCTGGATTACAGGTGTGAGCCATCATGCCCAGTCATGGTAATTTATATGTATATTTAAAGTTTCAATTATAGTAATAAAGAATATAAACATGCTAAAGTAATATATCTATCTGTCTTTTAAAATGTAGACTGAAATAATACTTTCAGCTTATTGTACCTTCAAATATTTGCTTAATGAATGTATTAACTAAATTAGCAAATGATATTATTTGTGGAGTGAACTAAATAGAAGTTTATCAGTTGGACCTATCATCTTACTCATAACTAAATTAGACAAGTGACAGTCTTCAGACCCTGCCATTGTAGAAATGTTCTTCAGTGCTGCCAAATCTGCCTATTCATTTACAGGAAATCCTTCTCACAACACCCACAAAATAACTCCAAAGGAATTGCACTCCTAAATATAAAGATCTAAAACTGGCCAAGTGCAGTGGCTCAAGCCTGTAATCCTAGCACTTTGGGAGGCCAAGGCAACAAGGATTGCCTGAGCCCAGGGGTTCAAGACAAGCCTGGGTAACTTGATGAGACCTCGTCTCTACAATAAAATAAAATAAAAAATTAGCCGGGTGTGGTAGCATGCACCTGTAGTTCCAGCTACTTGGAAGGCTGAGGTGGAAGGATCACCTGAGCCTAGTAGATCAAGGCTGTGGTGGCTGTGAGCAGTATGCCACTGTACTCCAGCCTGAGTGACAGAGTGAAAGTCCAACTAAAAAAAAAAAAAAAAAAAAAAATCTAAAACTATAAAAAACTTTTAAATTCAATAACCAAAATTAAACACTTTTACTTTTTTTTTTAAAAGACACATCTGTAAGAAAATTAAAAAGGCAAGTCACAGATCTAATAAAGAACCTGCACCCAGAATATAAAAACTCACAAATCAATAAGAAGACAATCCAATTTAAAAATGGACAAAAGATTTATATAGATATTTTACCAATGATATAAAAACGGCCAATATGCACATGAAGGAAAATCCTGCACATCATCAGTCATGAGGGAAATACAAATTAAAAACCACGAGATAGCAATTCATCATCACTAGCAATTCATCACTAGTCAATAACAAGGTAAGTTTATATAGATATCAGATCATTTATGTAATAATTTGTTTAGCTCTGTTGAGGTATAACTGACAAATAAAAAGTGCATATAATTCAGGTGCATGAGTATAACATTGTGAAATGATCACTATAACCAAGATAATAAACATACCAATCACCAGACATAGCTGCCATTTTCTCTTCTCCTTTTTATGTGGTGAGAACACAAGATCTGCCTTCTTAGCAGATTTCAAGTATGTGATACAGTACTGTTGACTATAATTAATGCTGTCCATTAGATCTCCAATACTCAACCTGCCTTCCCTTTGACCAACATCTCCTCATTTTCTTCTTCCCCCAACCCCTGGCAATTTCCATTCTACTTTGTTCCTTTGAGGTTGACCCTTTTAGATTCTACATATAAGTGAGATCGTATGGTACTTGTCTTTCTGTGTCTGGCCTATTTGCTTAGCATGATGTCCTCCAGGTTCATCAATGTTGTTGCAATGACAGAAATGATAGGATTTCCTTCTTGTTTAAGACTAATATTCCATATTCATATATACACACAAAATCAATCTATGTGTATACATACATATATACACACCTACACTCCATTTTCTTCAACCATTCATCTCTCAGTGAATACTTAAATTGCTTCCATATTTTGGCTATTGGGAGTACAGATATCTCCTTGACATACTGATTTCATTTCTTTGGATATACACTCAGAAGAAGGATTGCTAGATCATATGGCAGTTCTATTTTCATTTTCTGAGGAACCCTCATACTGATTGGTCTTATGGCCTCATACTGATTGGCTGCCAACAGTGTATGAGGGCTCCATTTTCTCCACATCTCTGCCAATAGTTATATATATATATTTTTTTGAGTTGGAGTCTCACTCTGTCGCCCAGACTGGAGTGCAGTGGCCGCTCCCGGCCACCGCAGCCTCGACCTGCTGGGCTCTGGCGATCCTTCTGTCTCAGCCTTTCGAGTAGCCGGAATTACAGGCATGCGCTACCATGCCCGGTTGATTTTTTTGATTTATTGTAGAGATAAGGTCTCGCTGCCCAGGCAGGTCTCGAACCCGCGGGCTCAGGCAATCCACTCACCTCAGCCTCCCAAAGGCGCGGGATTACAGGCTGAGCCACCAAGCCTGGCTAATAGTTACATTTTTAATAACAGCCACTCTCTCAGGTGTCCGGTATTATCTCATTGTGGTTTTGATTTGCAGTTATCTGATTAGTGATTTAAGCACCTTTTCATGTACTTGTTGGTCACTTGTTTGTCTTCCTTTTGAGACCAGGGTTATATCAAGTTTTTTGCTATTGAGTTGTATTAATTACTTACATAGTTGGGAAACTGACCTCTTACCAGATATATACTTGCAGTTATTTTCTCCCATTTTTGTAGGCTGCCTATGCCTGCTGTTGATTGTGTCCTTTTCTCTGCAAAACCTTTTGAGTTTCATTCAATTCTATCTGCCTATTTTTGCTTTTATTGCTTGTGCTTTTGAGGTCATATCTGAAAATATTACTGCCCTGACCAATGCCAAGAAGCTTTCTTTTTCTAGTCATTTTCATGGATTCAGGCCTTACATTTATGTTTTCAATCCACTGTGAGCTGATTTTTGTATATGGCATAACAGTCCAATTTCACTCTTTAGCATGTGGCTATCCAGCATTCCTAGCACTATTGATGAGACTATCCTTCCCCTGCTGTGTGTTCTTGGCATCCTTGGCAAGATCACTTGGATTTATTCCTGGGTTCTCTATTCTGTTCCATTGTTCTATATATCTGTTTTTAATGCCATTACTATGCAGTTTTAATTATTGTTTTGTAATATTTATTTTTTAGAGACAGGATCTTGATCTGTCAACCACATTACAGTGCAGTGGTGGAATCATAGCTCACCATAACCCTTGACATCTGAGCTCAAGTAAACAAGTGATCTTCCTGTCTCAGACCCCCAAATATCAGGGACTAGAGCCACATGCCACCACACTTGGCTAATTTTAAAGTTTTTAATGGAGACAGAGTCTTGCTGTGTTGTCCATTTCCTACTCAAACTCCTACCACAAGCAATCCTTCTGTTCAGACTCCCAAAGTTCTGGGATTACAGGCATGAGTCACCACATCCTATAATACGTTTTGCAATCAGAAAGTGTGATGCCTCCAGCTTTGTTTTTCTTGCTCAATATTGCCTTGACTATTTGAGATCTTTTGTGGTTATATATACATTTTAGGATGTTTTCTCTATT